TCACAAAAATCCAATTTAGACTTTTTTTTTTCAAATGTTTTTTGCCACAGGATTCCGGCGTTGACTTTTTGATTTTTTTTTTCCACCGCCGGATTCCGGCGTTGACCTCCGGTCTCCGGCGTTGATTTTTTTAGTGTTTTTTTTATTTAATTTTTTTTTTTTTTACGTCAGCCGATGAACGTTGACCGTAATTGGGCTGTCACTGACAGTAAATTAACGTAATTATACTGTGAATGACAGTACATTAACGTAATTGTACTGCCGTTGACAATTTATTTATGTGATTGTTTTGCCGTGGACAATAAATTAACGTATTATTTTTATTATTTTTATTTGTTATTTTTTTTTTTAATTTTGTTTGATTTGTTGACAAGTCAACGTAATTATATTACTGTCGTTGACAGTAAAATAAGTGTAAACACAATAATATTACTGTCAACCACATCAATATTATTATTTTTTAAGGTTTTTTGTTTTGTTTGAGTTATTCACGGAGTAACGCAATAATATTACTATCTATTATTGTAATATTACTATAAACACAATAATATTACTGTGGTCGACGGTTATATTACTGTTGTTATAGTAATATTGCTGTCAACCACATCAATATTATTATTTTGTTTGAGTTTTTTTGTTTGTTTGAGTTATTCACGGAGTAACGTGATAATATTATTGTCTATTATTGTAATATTACTGTGGTTGATGGTAATATTACTGTTGTTATAGTAATATTACTGTCACTCACAGTTATATTAATTCTTTTGGTTTTTTATTATGTTTACATTTGTTGAACGATCAACATAGTAATATTACTCTATTACACAATAATAATGATTTTTGTTTTGTTAATATTACAGTGCTAGAGATTAATATAACAATATTACTCTGTTAAACTGTAGTATAGTTAATATTACTGTCAATCACAACAATATTGCTGTTTAAACGAAAAAAAAAGATGTTAAAGAAAGAAAGAAAGAAAAAAAAAAAAATCGAAAAAGTCAACGCCGGAGACCGGTGGCGGAAAAAAAAAAAAGTTAACACCGGAGATCGGCTGTCAACGGCTACCTGACCACCGGTTCGGTTAGAACCGGAACCGGAACCGAAACCGAACCGGGGTCCACGGTTTTAGAACCGAACCGGAACCGGTTTGACCGGAATCGAAACCGGAACCGAAAAAACCGGTTCGGTTCCGGTTCCTCATTTTCGGAACCGAGAACCGACGGTTAGAACCGCAGTTTTAACCGATTGAACCGGTTTTAAAAATAAAAAATATATATATATATATATATATATATATATATATATATATATATATATGCAACGAATATATGCAAGACTAAAATTACTAAGTGCAAGACCTTACTTGATGCAATACCAAAATATAAATAAACTTACTAAGAGCAAGACTGGAAATTACAAATATAACCCCAATATTGATTTTGATACTATTCATTCAAATTAGACATAATTACTATTGCAAGACCAAAAAGAAAAAAAAAAGAAAAAAAATAAAAAAAAATAAAGGAGAAATTGAAAAACGAGAGAAAGGGATGTTGTAGGGGAAGAAGAGAAGAACACAAATCCGCTGCCGAAGAATTGTCGCCGCCCATCCGCTGCCAAAGAATTGTCGCCGCCCAACCGCGGGTGCTTGAAAAGGAAGAGAATAAGAATATGGAGGAAGGAGGAAGGAGGAAAGAGGAAGGAGGAGAAGAAGGTAAATCCCCCT